GGTGAAAACATAAGTGGTTCATTTCCGTTTTTGTGCTAACTCCTTTGATAAAGTGCATTATGAGTTTGAAAGGATAAAAGTGTGGTACTTTTTAACAGAAATTATTTAACTATTAAATATAATTATGTAAATTGAAGTGTAGTTATTTTAATTATGAAAAGTACATTATGTTTAAGTTTTAGGAGTAAAAAATAATTAACATGTTTTATATATATAATCTATTATTTTTGATTTAGTATATACTATATGTTATATATGTAATATATATTGTACGATATATGATATAGCATTCTATATTATATTTTATAATATAATTTATAATACATAATTATAATATATATATTTATAGTATATAATTTATTTACACCTTTATATTGTATGTCTACTTGTTTATATAAATTTCTGTTCTCTTATAAGACAAAGAAAAATTATTTAATGATTTTTTGAATATAATAAATATTTATTATTTAAAAGTTTAATTAGTTTTGCCGATAAAGCTACGCTTTTTTATAATGAAGAAGTACAAAAAAAAATGAAAATTTTTCTTTTAAATATAGAGATTTTCGAATAATAAAAATGAAAAATAAAAATAGGCTATCTCAAAAGTTAACTTTCTATTCGTTTAACTTGTGTTTCCAAATAAAGCTGTAGTTTAAAAGCTCGTTCTAATTTAAAGCACGGCAATTGATTTCGTTAGCGTCACTAATTAAATAAAATAATGACAAAAAAACCTGGAACTTGACCACTGAAGCCTTGGCAACTTGTAGAAAAATACAATTAGTCATCGCTTCTAATTTGACAGGCACAAGTTTTAAGCCTGGCACTTGCAGTCCAAACCAATTATTTACGGACTGTATACTAATTACGAAATTCGATTATTTTCTATGACCACTGATGATGAGTACTTGGCAATCCTCGAAACAGCGTTGTATGGTCAGCGAAATTTCTATTTTCCATATATTTGTATGTGCAATGTGATTTCGTTTCACGTGAAATAAATTCCAGAAATGATTGGGTCTTGATAGTGTTTGAGTATTACAATGGTCAAGCAGTTCGAGTATTCGAATTCAAATATATATTTTGAATATTTCGAAAATGTTCGAAATACTTGAACAGCAAATTTTCTCTATAGGACAAGTAATCCTCGTTTTTAGTTGCACAAATATGATTTATATAGCAGCGATTTCTCGACCATAATATAATATCTATATTATATACAGACCATAATATATACTATCTTCAATCTATGCAGCAATCATCTGCACAGAAAGGTGCTATGAACAATGTACGTTTCCTATACAGTTATACCATACAGAATTATAAAATACTGCAATGTCTTTTTAACCTGGTCCCTTACATAACCCATGTTGAGACCTTTTGCTTATTGAAAAACAATAATTTTAGAATTGCGATCCCAGTACGTCAGTTTTTTATTGTATACTGATAGATACATATGTTTTATTTCCCTTTTATGTAAATATATACGTCAAAATGTATAAATATATACATGCACTTATCTTAAAACTTTAAAACATAAATATTAATAATAAATGGTAATGATTGAATAAAAAAAAATAAATTAAAAGCGATAATTTATAATCACAAATATTTAAAATTAAATATGTTTTCTTAGAAAAAAATGCATGTGCACTCGTAAACAAAATCAAAATTTTATAAACAATTTGTAAATGCAATCAAATTACATATAATAACAAATTTTATTAGATTCGTCATATATACATAAAAGTGCTAATATTAGAAACAAACGTAATATCGTAAATTTGATTTCGATTAATTAACAATTGTGAAAAATTATTATATAAAAATTTAATCAAGAACGGTGGTAAAAACATAAGATACAAAATGGCGTGGGGATACTGGAGTGCAACATCGGTTGATCGTGGGCGTTCACCACGTCGTAATACACAATGCACACCCTTACCCGTAAATTTAGTGCAACAAGATGATGAGCCCTGCGTTGCGACAACACAAGCAAGCACATGTCCCAACACTCCATCAGCACCACAATCGGCACTTTGTTATAGTCCTTCTTGTCGAAGCCGTTGCAGCAGTCCATGTCCAGGCAGCACATGTCCGGATAGCCCGTGTGGTTCGATAACACCACCACAGCCTCCACAACCACTTACCGCATCACAACAACACTTACATTCAAACAAAAATTGTCCTGCTGCACAGCAGATTATTGCACTCGAAGAGTATGCATCTCGTCGGCAATCGTTGGATCGTTTGGACAGTCCACAGGTATGGACTCCCACAAAGGTGATAAAAATTTATACAAAATGTTTTTTTTTTACTTATCCACAAATTTCACAAACTAATCAAACACAATTTTAATTTTTAATTTATTTAATTTGAAGTGTGGATTTTTTAGTTTTTAATATTTTGTTAATTCATCACGTTTTATTTTGAATTTATACTCGTATTTCATAACAAATTAAGTGCAATTGTAAGTTTACTATTACTTACAAGAAGGTGAACTGTAATTCATATTTAATTCAAATAACGCATATATACTCCTTATCTAAACTTTAATATAAAGATTTTAGAAATAATTTGTCGGATATATTTAATTACAGTAGAGGGTTTATTGCTTTACTCGTATTATAGTATTTTTTAAAAACTTCTGCTCTATAAACGTTTAAAATTGATAGAAGTGGATTTTGTATGAACAAAGAAATTCTTTATATTTTTTTCTATAGGTTAATAAGTACTTGAAGATAGTACCTTGTACTAGGTTTTGCTCTGTTGTGATTGTAACCTGATGTTGTCATCGATATAAAAATATAGCTAGCTTATACTGCTAAGTAGTATTTATAGTTCTTAAACGAGTTGTACCTATATAGTTGCCCCTGTGTTTCTTCGGTTGATGTAAAAGCTGTTGCTATGGCTAATATTAACACTGGTTCGTTGTTGTATTTTACAACTTCAAAAGTGTAATTATTAAGAATTTTCTGATTAAACAAAATATCAAATAGCGGTAAGGCATAACCCAGAGGAGTAAGAGAGGTGAGGGTAGATCCTTTCCTTGAAATCAGAAAATAGCAGAATTATTATATATTTTATTTTAATAATCATTGATTATTAATATGTACATATGTCATGTATGTATGTATTTATGTTTCTCCGTGTATGTTATATCTCTTGTTATATCACTAATTAAAACAAATATCTGAGGTACATGTTTTATTTTACTTGAAGACGAGACCCAAATATCTAAAATGTTATGAGTAAAATTCTTGTTAGTTAGTCTCATATCTTAAAAATATTTGGAGAATAGGAAACATTAATAAGTTGCATTAGGTTTCTTAATTACTTTTATTATTATTTTATAATTGTTTGTGTATTTAAGAAACTGTTTATTTTTAATTGTAATATAAAAATTATCGCTTATAAGAAGTATACTTTTTGTACTAGCATAATTAACGTTACCAAGATTAATAATAGTAGGGAAAACTCACTTCTTAAATCTCAGAGAACAGAGACATTCTGTCCTCTCAAATAGATCAAATAGTATAGTCAAATTGTTTATATGTCTTTAGGGTAGTCTATGCTATATAAAAAACGTAAAAAAGATTATTAAAATAAATAAATTGAAGGATATATCTCCAACTCTATAATATTATTGTAGAGAAGTAAGAGTAGTTTCGAGAATCGACAGGGTATATCTGTGATGCCACTGATTAGGAGTATCTTGTGTCTTTATATGTGTTGTGTTGCCTTCAACTGACAACTATGATGGCATCATTAGACGTATTCCGTCTTTTTATGTATGTATATCGTTGTGGTTTCAATTGTGCCTACAATTCAGAATATATAGAAGATATAGATTTAGTTATTTGTCTCATATTCCTCTTTTTAATAAAAGTTTTCTTTAAATATAATTTCAAGTGATTTTTATTTCAATTTTCTTATAGCTGTTTAGACACTATACTCTACTAAATAATTAATCTGTTAAAATATCAACTCGTATAAAAAAATAATACACTTGATACTGTAAAGCAAAATATTTATTACAAAAAAAAAAAATGATAAATGCGGTATTTTCTGTACTTATTCCTTTATTAAGAAAAATAATAAAACAATATTTCACATAGCACATCAGGGCCATGTTTGCTTCTCTAATTTACGTCACATGTTTTAAAACGTTTAAGATTTATCTAGGACACTATAGAGAATGTGATTTTTATCTTTTAGTTACACTATGTGCACTCTGTATTGTTTAATCATAAATATTAAAACCATCTAACATAATCTTTCATGAGTTGACGTTCTTTGATGTATGATATGTATATTTACTTTAAATGAGTATGTATGAAAGGAAGTACGAATAAGTCAATGTTTATATTGTAATTATAAAATGGTTTTAAACTAGTACGTTTATTTACCCTTATATGGAAATAATATGAAGAGTTAAAATATAGTATAAAAAATTAAATAATTAAATTTTGAAATTTTTTTTATTATATATTAACAAAGTGCAAAGTTCTAATTAACAACAACCAGTAACATTGACTAACAAGAGGTTTTTTTATTTAATATTACAAGTAATGTTACTTAACTAAAGTGAGCATATAGATCTGAGCTAGTCATCTCTTTGCTGGTTTAAACGCCTCAAAAGGTCCTTTGGTTTAAAGTAACTTAAGCGTCTGTGTGAAACATCGCAAAGTAACGCCAATATAGTGCTGTTTAAGAATTAATTCAGCCTGATATAATGAGTATTGGCAACGTTCTGTATTTCTTGCCTGACAGTAGGTATTTTAAGGTCACGATGTGGGTGAGCATTTCGCACATACCATGAAGCGTTAACTGCATCTCTGAGTGCTATTTATTATATGATTTTTTTATCATATATATAACATATATTTTTATATCATATAATCTATTTTTATTTAATTTTTTTATTCTATAAGGAACAGTTTTCCCATATTTATTGAGGTCCCTGAACAGTTTGGGTTACAGCCTATTTTGTTGTACTATATTTTTAGAAGTAATGCCGGAACCCATTGCTGTTATAGTTCTTTGGTAGACTATTTGTTTATTGCTAGATGTTCCATAATGTTCAATTTTGAACGAGTTTTCAAATACTGAATTACATTGGTATTATGTAGAAGATTCACATATATATATATATATAGATTTGTAGATTTTATAAATCTAACAAATGCTTTTGAAACTGTTAGGCTATATCGATATATATATATGAATAATGAATCACAAATATATATATATGAATAATGAAAATCTACAAATCCGGATTGTTTTCACATTTTTGTCTTATTGCAAATATTGTGCTAGTGTTTAATGTTCTTTAATTTTAATTATTAGTAAAATATTTTTATTCTATAATTAAATTAAAATAATAAACAGCATTTAAAAAAAATTATAATTTATTATTAATTTATTAAGACTATTGTTTTTGGCTATGTTAAGTTCTCGTTATATCGAGTGGTGTTCTTTAATTTTAATTATTATAAAATAATTTTATTGCATAATTAAATTAAAATATTGAACAGAATTTAAAAAAAATTATTATGATTTATTATTAATTTAATTAGACTAATGAACCTGATTGTTAATGTTAAATTATTATTTCATAATGTTTTTAATTATATTTTTATATGAAATTTGAAACAAAAATACAAAATATATTAAATCGAATGATAATAAGTTAATAAATTATATAAATTTCAAACAATTTTAAAAATTATCGAGTGTCTAAGATTAATTTAAAAAAATATTGTTAGGTCGAAGAGTTGCCTAACGTTTATCTAACGTATTAATACTGTTTACACAACAATATTTTGACATTTTATAATTTTTTTCAAAACTTGAATAAAATTTAAGTTAAAGTATCTATTTATTCACAAGTATTTAGTTGTATTTGCTGAACATCTTGAATAACACCATTAACGCTCTGCTCTGCTAGCAACATCAAATCATTTGTTGTTACTCCAGCATAATTTTCACAATCTATCATATTTGGATATTGATTATGGATTAAATCGAACATATCCTCTAAGTTCTCGTTAAATGCCAAATGTAAGATAGTGTTGCCATTACCCAACGTTTTCATATTTTCCACTTTCAGATTCGACCTTTTGCAAAAGTTTAATATGTCAACCACAAGTTCCTGCATATTTTTTAGAACTGCACTATGAAGTACAGTATGACCATACCGATCGTAAATTGTAAGAAGTCGTAGGAAATCTTCAGTTAGGTTATTATAATCTTCGGGTCTCTGTAGTAGTTCTCTAAATTTTACAATACAATTCTCATGTTGTTTATTTATAGCAATATGTAGCGGTGTATTTTGATTAACATCTAATACACAAATAGAGCATGTTAAACGTATTAAAGATCGTATGTAATCGGCTTTATTGAGCAGGCATGTGTAGTGAAGTAGTGACATTTGAAGCTTATTAACTGCTGCACTGATCAATGGCGTTATATCTTCGATCTGTTTGTTGTTATATAGTATTAAGAATTCATCGTACTCAATGGCATCGTGAAAAATGGTGTTTCCAAATTCATGTTTATCGGTATAAACTATAAAATAAAAATTAATTTTATATAATTAATATCATTTTTACAAAGTTATTATTTTTTTCAATAAACACTTACCACTGTTAAATTGTTCAATATTTAAAATTAAATCAGGTGTATTTTTTAGTAGCTTCGTCAAACTGTTATGCAGATAATTTTTAATATCACTATCGTCACTAAAAGTAACATAATCCAATTTAATATATTGATGAGATCTCTTAGGTGTTTCTGCATTGGTAATTTGAGGAAATGAACTATTACAGCTAGACAGAAAAGCTTTATCTCTGTTTCTCTGTTTTTTATGTATCTGTACTGAATCCCTGTATAAAGGTTCGGTTGGCATTTCAATCACATTATTCGCAGTTGTATTCGAATTTTCATAAACAAATGTTTCTATACGAGGTCGTTTTCGAGCGCTCGCCGTAGATTCTACACATAAGTTTTGATATATGAATATAACTGGTTCGGTTGTAGTGTTGTCCTCGTTACATATCACTTCGACTAGGCACTCCTTTTGTTGAACACTTTTATTGGTCCATTGTCCGCCATATTTCGGTGTTTTAAATACTATTGCTTTGTTTTTTTGTAAAAGTTCAGTTGGTTCAATTATCCTTTCCCAAACCACTTCACCGTTAGCGTCCAGTTCATACACACGAATTATACATGCATTTGTATCATGTACAAGTAATGTAACTTCATCGTTTCCATCAACGTTGCCATATGTAGTACATATTTTATTAATCTTGTTTTTCATGCCGTTTATAATTGGATTAGAAAAAAGTGTTTCACAAACACGTTTATACTTCATTGATATCATTTGGTACACAGTGAATCCCAAACAAACCTGTAATTTATTTTGAAATTATTTTATATTCATTTTAAGAAACATTTATTTAAAAAACAAAATTATCAAATTATTATTTTATACAAAATACGAAGTATTACTGATTTTATAACTAATGCTGGAATAAAAAGGTAATGCACTTTATATTGTACTTATGAATCCTACACATTCAGGAGACTTTCTTCCAGAGTAGCATAATTAATCTTCAAAGCAGTGTTGTACCATTGAGCTTTCCATTAATATTCAAGTAAATCCTGTAAGTGTTTGCATTTCTTTGGGATAGTTAATCATAACTATACCACTACCAACTAAATTATAGGCATTATTTGATTAAAATTCTTTGATATGGGATACTAGTAGGAAGGAGACTTCTAACATGAATTTCAAAAAAAAAATGAATTTTGATATTATTTCTGTTTTAAATGTTTTAAATCAAGTAATAGATGTATTTTAGACTACAACAACCCACATTTTGTCGATAGAAAATTAATTATATGTTATATTTAAAAAATAAAATAAAACTTCTTATAGAATTAAATGTATAGTCTTTCTGTTTTCGGTTTTTGTTGGATCAAATTTATCAGATGAAATTTATTGTTTTGTTAAGTGGATATAATGATGAATTTTTGATTCATCTATTGTCACGAGTCGATGTCAGGAGTCGATAATATCTTTCGATAGATAATATCTTTTGATAATAATTTTTAGATTTAATTATTCGTTCTTGGTTTTAAGACTGCAGAGGGATTGGATTTCAACCCTTCCAAATTTAAAATATAGTTACGCATTTTAGACATCAGATCCAATGTACTTTACTTATGTTATTCAAACCTCAAATTTTGTTAATTTCTTGTTCTTGTTTCACAAATAATATCACTTGTCGAGTTATACTAGAACAGACGTAAAAGCCTGTACATACTAAAAATATTATAGTTATTATTATCACAGATTTCAGTATTAACTTTGCAGACACGTTAATTTTTTACATATTTTCTTTGTCACATTTAACTTAAATAAAGTTTAATTATAATTAAAATCTAATTTTATTTTAATTACCCTATAATCGTGTAAAATTATAAAGTTATTTAATGTTTATTTAACTTTTTTTCCTCAACATTTTTTAGGATTAGCTGGAATACCTCGACGATATTCAGATTATCCTGATGCTTGCACTATATGAAATATTATTTCAACAATTGGATCTACAATTTCATTATTAAGAATTATTTTATTTTTATATATTATTTGAGAAAGTATAAATATAAATCGACAAATAATTTAGTCAATCCAACTAAATTCTTCAATTGAATGATTCCAAAATTCTAGTCATAAAATGTTTTTTTCTTGATAACAGAACACACAGAAGATATGTGTATGTATATATATTCGTATATATTAATTTATATTTTTATATACATCATAAAAATGTCTAACACCTCATAGCTTTACCTTTTCCACAAAATCATTTGATACAATTTTGGTTTGGTTTGAGTTGTTGGATATAGACTGTAAATTGTTAATTTCATCGATTTGCAATTTTTTCTCATCCATTTTATTTGATTTCTCTTGTAATATCGTTTCTTTGTCCTTATTTTTTGTTTTTGTTATATAGCAGTTGTTTAAGGAAAATATATGTTTTGTTGGATTATCTTCACAAACGATCATTTTGTCGAAAATAAATGGACAATCACTCTCTGAGTTACTATCTGAGTCTTTTTTGGATTTTTTAATTTTAAGTTTATTTGGTGATAGCATATATTTCATTTCTGAATTATTCTTAAACATAGGCTCATATAGATCACATTTAATAAAAAATTCATTGTTGATGCAATGTGGTGCAATCAGTTCCACAGTTGGAAAGCATGGAACAGCTTTTGAAGCAGAATGTTCGCTTGTCAAAATGCCATGCGTACTGTTCTTCTCAGACTCATATCGAAAGCGATGATGTTGTTTTGGTTGCTCGGTGATTCTAAAAGATACACTGGGACTAGTTTCCATATTATTTAAAGCAAACATATTCTATCATAACTTTTCAACACTATTCTTTTAATAGTTGTAACAAATTTTATGAATATATTTTAAAAATTAATTTTTTGTTTTCTTTTTTTGTTTCTGAATTTCTGTTTATTTCACTAATAAATGCGTAATTAATTAATTTTGTATTGCAACAAATATTTTACTAATTAACCAGCTTCGCCGTTGCCAATGAACTAATGTTTTGAGTTAAATTTTTCAAGCATGAGGCAGAAAATTGCTAAAACGAATATTTTTTTAGCAGCTCTTATCTTTTTGCAAAAATGGATGAGTATTTCAAATAATATTTCTTATGAGAATTAAGAGAAAAATTTTTCAATAAACTTTTTGATAATATTTTTTTACTTTAAATATCTTCTTAGTATATGTGTAAAATTTAATGAAATCAAAAGAAAAAGCTATTCAAAATATTATAAAAATTTACAAGTATTAAATTTCTCTCTAGAGCTATTTAATTATTAATGTCTTGCAACAAATAATAATAATATAATATATATAAAATAAATATATTCTTATTCAAGTATTTTTTTCAATACTTTGAGTGAATCATCTACTTTTACAACTTTCAAAGAGCGGCAAACTTTCGTTGATTTCTTAACGTCCGCTTACAATTCAAATAAACGTTTAATGTATTATATCTATAAAGTTCTAGTTAAGCTCCAAAGTGAGACATACTATAGTATATAAAAGTTTTTTATTTATGTTTTTAATTATTTGAATCTATTTTTAATTTTTATAATTTCACGTGCTAGATAAATGTTAATGTATATTCGAATTAAATTAAAGAAAAAAGAATTAAAAAAATATAAGTATCTTTTTAAAAGTAATACTAATCATGCTAGTAGACTGTATTTATGACGAAAGTGCCTCTCACCTGCTTTGTTTCTGTCCGGCATATGCGTGGCGTCGCTTTAAATTTATGGGGCTTTCTTTTTTGAGGATCTTGACGAACTTCGAGACGTCCCTCTATATAGCATCATAAGCTTTATTAAAGATTCTAGATAGTTTTAGCCCATGGGTTTCTCAATAATACGGTATCACAATGGGCCTATAGGCCTAAGTGGATCCCCCTGGGATCGCCGGTACAACCTAACCTAACCTAAAAGTAATACAGTCGGTTGATAACATACAAAGACAATTTTTTATATATAATTGTAACATCATCCTAGTACATATGGGACGATCGCAGCTTGTTTCGGTGTTGGTTATAAACATAAATTAGACGTAATTTTTTCTTTCAGATTTGTAAAAAAACAGCGTTAAATCTCGTAAGAATAAATTGACATCACTTTTAAAATATGTTAAATGTTTCTTCTGACATATGTTTTTGTAGTGTTGTATACAATATGAAATATAAAAATTGTGAACACTTAAATTTGATTAATTTAAATAAAAGAAAAAAATGAATATTAGAAGAACAATGGTAATCATTTTTATCTTATATATTTAAATTAATTTATTTATTTATACATTTGAATTTATTAGTAAATCGAATGATTGGAATTCTACAACATATTTGCAGTGAATATTCACAATAAAATGATTTTTGAATTTGGCTGCACTGAAAATTAAGAGTTAAAATTTTTTGCAACTAAAACCTAACTATGAAGTTGCGAGTATTTTTTTGCTACTCTGAAAGAAAAAACTACAGCTATTGCTTATTCTTACTCTTAGTTTTTTATTACATTTCTATAGCTTAAATCTAAGGCTATGAGAATAAAAATTGTCTAACTCGTAACTAAACATATTAGCATACGCGTATTGTTTCAGTAATTTGATCTAATATTTGAAATATTTAATTCATTAATAAAGAATAATGTTATAGTTTAAGGCTAATAACATCTACAAATTGGAAATTAAAAAAGAGGTCAATGTTAGTTTAGTCTGCTGTTTTAACCACAATTATTAATAAATATTAAGTAAAAAACGAGTCGAGAACACCGTACTGCGACAACAAGCAAGATTGGTGTTCGATATGTTACCCAAATGCCTTTACGTGATTGCAAAAATACCTTTGAATGCTTTGCAATGTTGATTACAGAAAAATGGATTAAAAAAACAGTTTATTTGAAATTTTGTGATTAAAAAAATATATATTTTACATATTGTCGTGTAGTTAAAAATGTGGTCAAATTTGTGGTCGAGTATTCGCTGGCCTTCTACTATCAAGAATGAATCGCCAATGAAAATATGGGCAAAAGTCAAGAAGCTGGTATTCAAAAACAATGAAACTTAGACTGTTGGGTAGCAAAGTGGCATTTTAGTCTGTTTATAGTGCTATGACTGATATTTTGGGTATGAAATGAGTCACTGTACAATTAGCGACTAAATCGGTGGCATGTTTGTTGAAGACCTGATTTCCAGAACTTTTACAAAAACCATCTTTATTAAGGTATCATTGGAGATGTGAATGAAGTTTACGAGTACGATACGCAAATAAGTTAGCAATGTTCGTTATGGTTCATTAAAAAAAAGTCGAAAAAATCATGTTAATGTTACTCGAAAATCAAGGCCATGTCAATAGTTTTTTTTCGATTACCGTGAAGTAGGGAACTTCGAATTCCTATCAGAGAGACAAATGGTTAATAAGGAATACAACATGATAATCATGATGCACTTGTACTAGAATGTTTATACAAATATGCGTTGCGGTAACTTTTTGATAAAAAAGTTATTAACTAAGATCTATCAAGGGCTCACATCGTATGAAAAAAATAAATATACGATTCTCAATCAGGGCTCAAAATATGTATAAAGGATTGATTTAATTAATCAATGATTTTTTTTCGTTTTATTGAATAACTCTGAGTAAATTTTACACAAAATATAAGACACTAAATATTATCAACTACAGAGAATGAAATTTATGGCTTTTTTTAAAAGAGGGTAATATGTTTGATTATTGTTATTTTAAATTGCAGCATAGGTATGCTTAATATTATTCAAATTCAATTTAAAAAAAAATTAATTTAAAATAAATTCTTTTAAATAAAAACTTCAAAACTATACTTGTTATATTCGTATTTATAGTAATGATTTGAAGGTTTTTAAAAAAGTCTATCCATAGTTGATATTTGTCTAAGCAATAAAAGTTTGAGTAGATAATATTTCCTCTCTAAATTTTTTAACCCTATTGCCGTTAAATTATCTGAATGGTATTTTTTCTTATTATGTTTGTATATTATGTAGATCCCTCAAACTTTTACTTTTGAATTTGGAGCCAGTCTACCTCTTCTTTCATTCTACATACTTTTATTCTTGTTATGTTCTTCTCTAATCAATTAAATAAAAAGAAGTTTTTCATTTTAATTGCAAAAGTTTAAAATGGATTATCTATCACGTACCTGTTCATTTGAAACATAAATATTTGGGTCACATTTTGTTAATTCTTTTATTATCTCGAAATCTTGATTAGACATTTTAATTAAATGTCGGATACATACAATTTGTGATCTTTTCAGACATTATACAATAGGGACTTAGTGTTTGATTTGTTTAAAAAATCATAATTTGTACTATTTATAGCATATCTATATATGTCTATATATGTGTCTATATATTTATGGGTTAAAATTCTACGGCAAGCTAAATAATTTAGTTGACAGTTGATAGTAGCTTATTAGTCAATAAATCATTATACCAAGTAAATAACTCAACTAAATCATGTAAGACTCATTAATAATCCAGTTCAGTTCAACCGGCTGAATTTGTCATGAAATATTTATGAAGTTTTGCAAAATAAATTTAAAAAAATTTTTAAACATAAAATTCCTTTACAAATATTTTATAATTTGACATTAAAAATCCACACCTCGTTTGCATAATAATTCTTTCTAATTAAAATTATAAAACAAATTTTTTAATGGTTGACTTTGTTTTTAAAATATTGATCCAATTCATGGCTGCATTCCGATCGATCATCATAATTAATTCATTAAATTGCCCATATCGATGTGCTCTTTACACTTATGATTTAAGACAAAATATTTCGGTATACAGGCGAATCAATTGTCGGACATTTTGTGTCGTGGCGCAGTTGTCTCATCCATACAATCAGCGAACAATACACTCACACGTGGCGTTTCATTGCACAGTCGAAGCGGTAGTGCACATGGTAGTATACACGGTGGTAGTCATCATGGCAGTGGTCATGGTGGTCATGGTAGTGCCCATGGTTCAATGGGTTGTTTACAAGGCAGCACTGGCCATTTGATAAGTGGCCAAAACGCTAGTGGTAGTGTTGGTATGCTTCCAGGTGCAATCAATACAGGCGATTACGATGTACCACATCCACATCCATATACGCATCACTACATGCAAATAAATGCATCCACAACGCCGCCACATTCCACAATAAGTTTAATTGGCTCAAGACCTGGTTCTGCCGGTGCTTGCCCAGGTCATGATTCGGGTTCCGATTCGAGTCAGGGATGCGGTTCTATAATGGGTGGCGTTACTGGTAATAGTCACGTTAGTCATATAGCAGCGCATTTGGCTGGTGTAGGTGGTCATCATAGTGGTGGCAGCGGTTCTTTGGGACGATGTTCAAGCCGATGTCATAATACTGCTACTACCACTACTACTACAGACGATTCGGGTGGCGGTAGCGGTGGCAGTGTTTTTGGTGGCGGCTGTGGCGGCGGAATGGAAACTCATCATCGTACCATTAGTCATCATGGTAGCGCGGGTAGTGGTCTTAATGGTTGTGGCAGTGGTGGCCGTAACAGTTCATTGGGTACTATACATAATGGACATCATCATCAATATCATCACGAGTGTATACATTATGAACGCTTACCAATACCGGTTCCTATTCCAACTGTGCCAACACAACAAATGCATTCCGAAGAGGAAATCGAACCAGCGTATGCTACAGGTAAGTTCTGATAATATATTTAAGTGAATTTAAATATATTTATTAGATACATATACCCACAACTGTCTTTTTAATTTCTTTGCTTTATGTTGACTGTGTTTAAATATTAATTTCTTTTAATATTCGCTTATTTTAATAGGTATCTGTATGCGTACTTAATTGAGTAATATTAAATATAATTTTTTGTACAGTAAATAATTTTTTGTACTATATTTTTCTATATAGATAAGATAACTCATATTTAAATTATGCCAGAGTTAAATTGTTGCCTTATCAAATAAAATTGATAATAATATATATGTACATATATGTCGTCATATGGCGCATTTTAGTGTATATTGTATGGCATTAGTAGAAGATACTATTTCGTTCACAGAACCTAGGAAAAAGAAATATTCAGTATTATATTGTGTTCTTATCGAAATTTAGAAATATTGAGTGACTTCATTCGTTTTAGTTATTATATTGAGAAGTAATTATTTAGTTGATAAAAATTCTCACACTGCATAAAGTGTTGATTAAAAATATTACAAATAAAATCGGAAAATATGAAGTATATGTAAATAGTAAAAATTGGGTATTGCCGGTCGAATCTTATTTTGCTTAATTAAATGTTTTAAATTAAATTATACATGTTAAGTAAAAATTGTGTTATGGCGTTCTTGTATACTTTTAAAATTTATAAATTTATATGAAAATTGTGTATAACAAAATATAACAAGTTAAATTCAATTTGATTAAAAGGCCTTGTGTTTATAAAAGAGTCCGATTCAAAGCAAAACAATTTACAAATGCTATGCTTTCCAGTTAAGTTACTAACGAAAACTAATCCAAATGTTCGAGCAATTAATTCGGCTGAAAGCAATGCTCTGTACACATATGAAACAAATAACCAGCAACCAGCTTTAGAAACACTACATTGTAGTCAGGAGCATTTGAAACAAGAAGGTAGAATATATCTTATTTCCAGCATACGTTAAAAGTTTAACATGCAAATACCTATTAAGTAAATATTGACTAAATCACATTATCTGGTTAAAATTACTATTTAACTCATATCGTAAATGTAAGTTAGTTAGTTGTAACTAACTCATGAAAAAGTTATAAATGAATTTAAATATATATCAAAGCAGGGTGCTATTTTAATTATATGAAAAAAGAAGAACTATAGTCTCAGTATGAAAACTGAAAGGCATTTTATCGATCTGATAATTTTTGACACCTTTATCATAATGGAATCAAAATATTTACACTTAACATATTAACATAAAACTAGGGTAGACTGTACTTTCTACGAACTACATTCTCCAAGTTCGACTTGGAGACTACATTCGTATTCGAGTGCATCCATTGAGTCTGTTGTGTTAAAAAGTCGCTTATTTCAAATGATTTTGAGTTTACATCTCGTGTCTTTTTTTATGGAAAATTATAATCAAAACAGACTACAATTGTAGCTTAGCTCCATTTGGAGACTACAATCGTGTTCGAGTACATCCGTTGAGTCTGATGGGTTAAAAAATCACTTAATTCAACCGATTTTGAGTTTATATCTAGTGTCGGATTTTATGGAAATTTATAATCAAAACTAAACATTGCGATAATGTTTTGTTAGACTATAAATTTCAGGGCTGTTTAAAAAATTCCTTTAATTCTAATAAGTTGCATTTACTTATATTGTGGACATATACCATCGAATGATACTGTTCTGTAAGCCTTGAAATCATAAGCATAGAACTGGTAAGTTTCTTACTCCAGTAATAGATAAATGCTAGAACTTTGAAATCTGTACTTCAATTTTTGAGTAAAAGAACATTTCAGATCATGCCTGTTTTATTGGCACGTTAATGTTCCATTACTCTCCACACTACAACATACAAGAACTCAAAACATGTGTTTCTGTATATAGTAGCGAGGCTATATATATTGTGTATAATATGGAGTTAAAAAACGAACAAAAATTACTGTTTTTATTTATTATAATAAATCGGTATGAGCGGCTTGCAGCACTGTTTCAGTTTATTATAATAAAGAAGCTAACGCTACAGTTAAAAGTCGGTATTATTGACAGAAATGTGAAGGATACAAAAAAATGGAGGTTTTCAGACTAATTCCGATGATTACGTATAACTCAAAACTAAAAAATGTGTTTAATCTTTGCTATTATTCATATTTAATAAAACATTTTTCTATATTTAAAATTTTTTTAATATTTAAAAAATAACGAAATGATGAAGGTCTTCAGCAGGAAAAAAATATTTATATATTTATATAAAATATTTAGATATTCTTTATTAAAAAAATATCTCTTATAGTATATTTATGACTGTTACATTTTTCCAAAACAATTGACTGATATGATACCATGTACCTATGTGAGTGCTTTATCTTTAAAGGGTTTAGGAATTGCGAAAATTATATATAAAATAAATGTTTAAAAAAAATTGTAATTTTTTTGTAATCAATATAATTAAGTTATTTATATAATAAAAGGGTATTGCTATTAAAAAATAAATATTTAAAATATTAAATATGAATGTTTAATATTTAAATCGTAACCTTAACCTTATATATATATTTATTTACTTATATGAATTTGTATATATACATATATATGTATATATATATATATGAAGTTCAATAGATTATCACAATAGAATAGAATGAAGTTTTTCTCCAACATATTATTATTCAAATGTTTTGATGTTCTTAATTTTTTTCAATTACATGCTCACAACGGAATTATTTTTAAATTGATTGCCATAACAAATTGAATCGAAAGAGCGCGAATGAGAGTATTGTATATACCCGTACAATATTAATAAATAATTGAATTCAATTCGAAAAGAATAAAGTACAAATATATAATAAAACTCTTGCGGCACTTCTTCGTCACTTTTCTTTTCATATCTCCATAATAAATTCAGTTTGCTCTTATTCAGTTTGTAAAGTCATTTACCGTGGCATTGAAATAGTTAACGTATGAATAGTGATACTTTAAGACTTACGGATTATATTCAGTTTAAAATAATAGTACATATGAGCATATAGAATAAATTGTAGTGGATCATTGACGAAACGATTCAAATTTCTATGTTAAATAATAATAGAAGTTTGAAGGTTTTTAACCTTACACAGCAATTGTGTTTTGTGTTGATTATCGTGAATATGTTTAATCGAATTTAGTGTGATAACATGAATAAAACTACATTTATTCAAATGTTCAAATGTAGAAAATACAATATAAAATTTTAAAAGTTGAATAAGTTCAAGAAAGTTAAAATAGCTCATTTAAAAGAAAACTAAAAACTAAAAACTAAAAACTAAATTTAAAATTAAAGACCGACCCCTTTAGTGGGCCTTGTTGTCACGATGATTATGTGGAGTGGTATATGTAAAGCAGCTTCGGTTTATGGAGTATCAACCTCTCCATTCTTCATGAGCGGAGGTGTTGAGAGTAACTGATTTTTTTAAAAAATAATCAAATATATTTAAAAACTAATATGTTAGTTAATTTTCAAAGTGAATTTTTTAATATGCACTTGTTTTAGTTCTCAACATCTAAAGGGTTTAATATAGATATATTATACGAATTTATTCTATATCGAAATTACATTTGTTGTGTAAAAAATTAGCTAACGTAAAACCTTTTAAAGTTAATTAAGTTCATTTAATTTAAGTTTATTTACATTTTTTAATACATAATTATTCAGTTTAATAAACAATATTGAGAGTAAGTACTCCATTCTTATTTATAGAGATTCTAAAAAAATATTTAATGCAGTAAATAAATGTAAAATAATATAAAAATTATTATGAATACTCTCTGTATATCAAAATATAGTTACGATCTGATATGTATAGTTATTTTATAGTTATATAGTTGGATATAGTTATGGACCAACTGATCAAAGCATCGTAGTCATAATAGATCTTTTGTGCTATTTAATAACGCTATTATAAATTTAAAGTTTAATTATAATATATAATGCTATTAATACTATTTAAATAAAACAGTCTAAGTAAATCCTTAAATATTTAAAATCATTGAAGAAAGCATAATAAAAATAACAACTTGAAGACAAAAGGTGTCTTTAGATCTTTAACAAACTACAATAATTTTATTTGTAGCATCTAGTAACAAGCTATGTTATATTAGTAAACTGTTAGGTACTGAGTTTTTTAAATAAAATATTAATAAATATTTATAAGATTTTATTATAAAATATATTAAAATATTATTTTATAGTTTTTATTTTTACAGAAGTTTCGAACAGTAGTGAGCCACAACAACAAAAATTATTTTTATATTATTTTAATTAATTGAATTTTTGGCTTTATTTTTAGTTTATTTTTTATATGTAGTTTATTTCTATATAAAAATGGGACCTGAAGAAGAAGTCAAAATAACTTCAAAACGTCGTTATATTTTTATATAGAAATAAACTATATGAAATAAATTAGAAATAGAAATTATATAAAAGTTTATTAATTAAATTTTAAAAGCTTTTTAAAAACTGAGCAAATTTAGTATAGTTTCTCTTTAAAGATAAAGTGAGGTTTTTTACAACGATATAAGCGACAACATTTCAATATATAAAATAAAAATTTTATATATTTTTGTTTTTTAGTAATAAAAAAGTTTTAACATCAGATTGAAATATTCCTAATGTCATTAAACGAATCAGTGTCAGACATTCTTTAGCTTTAGCAACTAATTATTATCTAACAAAAATCAATCTTTCATTTTTTTCATATCTAATGGGACTAATTACACTAATAAATTGTTCCGTTGTTTTATTGTTGTTAAATACATTTTCTACCTATCTTTAGTCTTCTGAGAAGGTCTATGTTGAAAGTTTTATCTTTATATGATATAATAAAAATTCTTCTATAGATCCACATTTCGAAAATCTCTAAGTTATGTATGTATGCAACTTTTAGCGATAAGTTGTTAGGCCTATAAAAAAAGTACCAACCAAATATAATGCATCTAAAAAAGCTGTCTTAGTTGTAGGTTGGGTTGATGAGTTAACTTACTTAAA